AAATATTTTTTACTGTCTAATCTTATCTTGCCTTATTTTGTAAATATGAGAATCAAACAAAACATTTCATAAAACTATCCTTTATTTTATATTATAATGGCAAAGAAAACTTGTAATGGTAGATAAAAATTAATCAGAAAATGAAGAAGTCAAATGAACTTTCCAGCTGGATACAGCAAATTATAATGAAGACCTGGAAGCACCTTTCCCTCCAGGGTTAGGCGTGAACTGCAGTATAGCTCTGCCAGGGTCCCCCGCATCTTATAACACCTCTTCTCCATATATTCGTTGAAGGAGCATATTGCACGCCAACTATCTACCAGGTTTTTCTCCATTAAGCAGAGAATAAAGTAAGTGCAATAATCTCAATTGTGGGTATCCAAACAAACACGAAGAAACCTGAAGTTTCCCAGATCCACTGATACATTCTCGATACATTCGCTCCTGTGCTGCCACAGCAGCCTAAGGGAATTGGAAGAGGGAGGGAAATAACTTGCACCTGGTAGAAGTGATTAATATGATACGAAGAAAGATTCCCCAAGTTCCTATGTGATGTTTACCTGTAGACAGAATGGGAGTAATGGAAGGGAGTTTTTCAACATATAATGGTGTCCCCAAAGCTGAGTCGATTTTGAGTACTGACAATCTATTGCTATTAGCAATGTCCAATACAAAGTACAGCTACTTCCTTTGCTGCAGCCCTAAGTTTTACCCTTCACCATTTAACAAAAGTCAGAAAATTGATAGCCCAATTTCCTCACAGATTCTGACAAGCAGAGCAATTCCAATGAATGTCCAGCAAATAATATGCCAATGTCAACTTGCAACTCTCACCAAGAAATGATACTGTGCCCATTCATACTCAGATTTAAGTGACACAGTAACAATACCCGAGACAGGTCGAAATGATCTACTGGTCTATGTGTTACCAAATAAATCAATAGCTTATCGATGATGAAACAGCCAAACACACGGAAAAGGCTTGGATGCTATGATTAGTCAAATAAGAACAACCAAAAAGGTGGGAGAGGGGCCTCCCCTGGTGGTGCAGCGGTTGAGCGCTGGGCTACAAAGCTGCCTGCGGCCTCTGCAGCGCCGGTTCGATCCCCGGCCACCAGCAAGGGTCCCACATGGCGCGCAGACCTCTCCTGCCGCCCGCTGCTCCCCTCAGCAGTGTATTTTGTCAGTCTGCCTATTCTGTTCCCCGTTCTGGCTCTGGTGAATTCTCTTATGCTCCTGCGCTTCTGATTGTACCCAACACTTGTATAAATAAATTTAAAAAAAAAAAGGTAGGAGGGGGGAAAAAGTCATAGAGTGTAATCAATAGGAAGCTGAACTTTCAATTTTTGCTCAATTACCTCCCTATCATTTATTAAAACTTTCAATTAGTAATGACCTGTTTATCCAGTATTGTCTGTAAGTGAACAATGTCCATCAAGCCAACTAGTATTCTGTGCCTCACAGCCTTACTTTCCAGGCAGGTATCAACCTGTTGAGCCAACCACTACTGTGTAATTATGTTGACTATGGTCTAAGGAGCTATGTTCTCACCAACAATCTCTGCTGTAAGAACAGTAGAAAGTTAGGAAAGCACACAGGTGCATTCCCCTGCTCATTGAACCCTCCACAACAGTGGTTTCTCAGAATATACTTTCTCTGGCACAACTGAAAACCAGTTCCCCTTCAGAGAAAAAGGCACAGATACACATTCATATAAAAGGAAACAATTACAGTAGGTTAAAAAAAAAAATGCCTTGTTGTTTGTTCAGGAGTGTGAGGCCAAAGAAGCCCTGTTATTACCAGTAGAGCCTCTTTCTGAGCAGTTAAGAATAGAATTGTAATAGAAATGTTTAAGAGTTGGACAGAAAAAGTAGCTAATGCGAGAAAGCAAGATAAAGATACTGATGGCAAAAGGGAGAGCCAGATTTTGAAGCCTTAATATACTAGCAGTGTTTACTCAATTAACAAATATTTATTGACCATTGGCATGAATGAAGAAGAATGCTAAAAGACATGAGAGAGACTAAGATGTAGCTAACAGTTTCTGCTCTTGTGTGGCTTACAAGGAACAGAAGAAAATGTTATTGGAATGAAGGAAATATATTTTAAGAGTGTCTCTAACAAAGGGGCCTAGCTTAGATTGAAGGTTTCTCTCAACTGAGACTGAGGAGAAAGCTACCTTGTAAATTATTTGGGAAGAAATAGGGGTGAGGAATAAAGGTAATGCAATTCTTCCAGACCAGGGAAACATAAAACAAAGATGATGTGTTAAAGGCAGCGTGCATTAAGAGGAAGTTGTCCCATGAAGCTAGAAAGATGCTGGTTCTCAGTAACAGCCTTCTTCTTAGTCTGCTACGTTTCTTTTGGTAAAAATCAATAGTATATTCAGTTTAGGGTGATTGGAAAAGTTAAATTAGAGAATATAAAGCACCTTGTAAAATACCTCAGCACACAGTGCTGGTGATGACGAAAATTATGGAGTTGTTAAGATAACCTGTGTTAGAGAGAGAGAGAGTGTGTGTATGTGTGTAAAATTGCATGAGTATACTTACCCTTGCAGCAAATGTTAGAAGTTTCTACAGCCACCAGTTACAAATTTGTAAGGTAAAATATAAGCAACTTAAATATTTTCATAACTGGTTATTCTTCATTTTTACTTATATAAACATGCTAGAAAGAGCTATATTTATATAGAGCACAAATACATGCTATCTCTACCAAAGAACGATACTATACCTTACCACAGAGATTAGTTTTTTAAACAAATCAACAATTTACTGATGAACTTTGGGGAAATACGTACATGAAGCCAACTTTTTACAACATAATTACTATGTTTTTTGAATAGAATGCACATCAAAATGGACTCTTCAATTAAATCTAACATTCATTATTTAAATACAAAATAAGCTGAACTATTGAAAAACTGTTCTTTACAAAATCTAAGATTTTTGAAAACAGTTTTGAATTTGTCTTACTTAACAAACCTAAGTATAATTCAAAAAGACAATACTACTTTTACTGTGCCTCTAGGCAAAGCTTTGTAAGAATTCCCAGTAACAATCTATTCTTTATGAAAAGTCTGTTATTCAAGGAAATGTTATATTTTTGAATATATGCTCTCTCAGATAAACTATCATTAAGGATTCAGCATATTTTTTTTCTAAACGTAAATATCCAAAATACATCACCTGACATGAGATTATACAGTAGGTAAAAGTTAAAACAAGACACTTAACTCCTGCACCACAAAAAAGCAACATTACCTGGAAAACTAGTCTTCATTATGTCAATTCCAACTTGTAGCTCAGGTTCAGCAGCGAGTACAGCATAGTCCCCTTGATGAGAGATGTTAAAGTTGAAATTGGGATACGGATTCAAGGAGTCTTTTGCAAGAACTGGTTTTCCTTTAGCAGTTCTTTGTAAACGAATATTATTCCAAGGGATATTCAATTTCTCTGCAACTAATTTCCTTATCATCAGACGACCAGCCTGTTAAGTAAATAAAACATTTAGTATGTAGTGATGTGGACTAAAGACTTAGGTACATGCTTTGTAACATAAAAAGTCTGTTTTTGTAGTTTCTAAAAGACTCATTTTCAAAGATGCTTAAAACATGTAAGTAGTGATAACACTGCTTTAAGATTTAAACAATGATAAAGAAGACTGAAGAAAAAAGTCCCTCCTAGCAATTCCCTCCTCTCAATAGGTAACTAATGTTAACATGTAAGTATCCTTCCCATTTTTCTCCAACTATACAAACATGTTCATTTGCATATGCAATTTCTGTTTATGTACATAAGATTTTAATATATGCAGCTACTCTAGTAAAAAATTTTAAACTTGTATTGGGGATTATAGCCCGTCTAACATAAAGGTCTGTGCACTTTAAACTGTAGCATAATATTTCACAACATCAAACTATCACCTGATTGAGTATTCCCCTATAGTTGACAATTCTACTAACTCTAGTTCTGCCATTACAAAGACGACAAGACACCCCGCCCCCAACGCAGTGAGCAACTATTGTAACTACATCTTTGTGCTTTAGTCCAAGTATTTCTAGATCCTGTATACTGTCCCTCAGCTTCAACAATTAGCAATGAATGATTTACCTCGTTTCACACAGGATCCATCCCCTTTCTCCACCTCATTAAGAAATTACTAGTCACACTAAAAACCCAAGAGCATAGGACAACAAAGTATATATTACGCAAAATCATTCAAGTGTTTTCCCTACAATTCTAATGCTTGACTCCTAGAAACTGCCACTTCGAATTGCACTATTTCCTCTTAATTAGAAAAAGGTATAAAAAATGTTCTCCATCGTCCCTTCAAAAATTAATACATTAACCCACAGTTCAAACAAAAAGGTGTTTCAATACAGACACATTTTCAAAAAAATGACTGTCTCGGAACGGTAATGAGAGCTGCTTTCACGTGCACTCTACAGTAGAGGTAAATCTGAAACACAATTTTCAATTTGATTCTTGGAAACATGTAGCTAAAACATGTATTTAAACACCCTTTCCAAAGCTATGTGTCGAGGCAGGTTTGTCTGGGCTGCACCCTCCCGAGCTTCAGTTTCACTGCTAGGAGGCGGCTAACCAAGGCCTCTTCGACGTCCAGGTGTGCAAGGCCACACTGTCATCATTTTCTAGAGGCTACCACGTGCAAGGCGCCCTAGGAAAGTGGCGTGACATTTAATGCGCAGCCTAAGCATGTGCTCTGGGCCCACACAAAGAAAATCATAAAATTTGGTAACACTTCAAACAAAACCATATACACAGTCAAGACCGGGGGCACACAGCTGCGCGGACCGTGCCCTCGCGGCTGGCGGGCGCGGGGGCCCTGTCGGCGGGGGAGGGGCTCCTTCCTGCGGCGCTCGAGGCCTCCTAGGCGACCACAAAGACGGCGGCGACCAGGCCGTGCGCACACCGAGGGTTCGGCGGCGCCGGCCACTGGTCGCCCGGCGGGCCGCCGGCCGGAGCTAGGGCGTCGACGCGGGGGCGGGAGGGGTCTCCACGGCCGGGCCCACCTCCCCCAACAGCGGCTGGCCCGGCTCGAAATCCCCAAGACCTGTAGTACCATGGCTGCCTTAGCGTCCCGGGCAAAGACGAACTGGCCGATGCGGTCCTTCTCCTCAGGCTGGATCGATCGCACCGCCAGCAGCCACTCGGCGCGGCTCGGCAGCCAAGTGCCGCAGGAAAAGGCCCAGCGCACGCCCTCCATCGCTGGCACCAAGCAGGACCGCTTGGCGGGGAAAACCATGCACTGAGAGAGACCTCACCGCCACCTCGAGCCTGATGGCGCGGACGCTGGCGTGGCCCCACCCCCTCCTTCACGGCGTCGGCGCGGGGGGCGGGGCGACGCGTTGGGATCACGTGATCCAGAGGGCCTCGTTTCCCCGCCTACCAACCCCGCCTCCTCCTCCGGGAGCCCGCGACTGGGGGCGGGGACCCACCTCTGGAATGCGGCACCGCGCGACGTCACGTGGGCGGGGCTCCGGAGGCGCGGAGGGTGGGACCAAGACCAGGCGCCCGATTGTTACGCCAGTCACCTTGGAGACGCGCTGACGGGACAGCCGGACCAGCCAATCGCGTTCTGGCCTCCGGAGGCAGGGACTCTGGGGTGGAGACTTCGGAGACTGCAGTTGCAGGTGGGTGAGCTCTGGGGTCTGCGGGAGGAGTGGGATGGTGGCGCCGATTTCCTGACGATCGCGGTCGGTCCCTGCAACCCCGAGGAGAGGATTCCCTTGTCTTCGCTCACCTTTGCCGCCTGGGGCGGGAGAGGGTTCCGCGGCCAGGAGGGACTGTCGGGGGCCCCTGAAGTCATGCTCCGCGGCAGCCCTGACTTGTCACCCTCACCCCTCTCCGCGGCCCTTCGGCCTAAGCCCCATCAGGACACTACCCCTCGCAGTCGCCCAGTCTGAAACAACTTCGAAAGCCCCCTGAGACACTACCCCTGGATGGGGTGCCGGCCCTGCTGAACCCGAGGTTGTCAGAGAGCTGGGCTGCAGCCGACCCTTTGGTGCGACCATCAAATAACCCAGGTGCTGTTTTGCTTGTGCCCCGCCTGGGTCAGAGTCTGGCCTTAGGGAGAAACCATTCTACTGTTGAGGCACCAGTGGTTCTATCATATTTGCTGTAAAAGCGGCAGAACCGAGCAAATAACTTCTGCAGCCCTTCAAAGTTAGCCTGCCTCTGCTCAGTTATTTCCTCAGAATTCACGAAGGACGCTATTGGTGTCTCTGTATCCACGTTAGGTCCTTGTAGACCTGCTACTCTTCTATGAAAGCCCTCATGATCAAAGTCCCGTTTGCATTTTTGGCCCCAGGGGAAAAGTTGGTCTCTGCAGATGAATCTAAGTGCCTAACTTTATGTTTAATTCAGTTGATATATCAAGCAATTCATTTTACATCCTTTTGAGGATTTGTGTATGTGTGTGTTCAAACCGAGTTGATCTCTGCAGATGAATAAATTGCCTAACTGGTGGCAGATTAAATGTCAAATTGTGGAATTCAGCAAAACCCCTCTTTGGCTGCCAGGGAATGTTAACTAGAAGCCAGCAGTAGAAATTATCAAAGTTAACTGCAGATTATGTCCACCCTCCTAACTTACAAAGGATTCCATTCTGTTTTTATCTATACGTGTTTCCATAGCTTTCTTATATCACAAGCCTTTTCTAGTCCTTTCCAAATAGATGGGATTTTGAACACATACACGAATCCTTAAAAAGGATGTAAAATGAATTGCTTGATAAATCAACTAAGTTAATACTGAAAAATCTGTATCAAGAGCCATATTGAAGGTCTGTCTACCACCTGCCCAGAGCTTACCATACAGCCAAGTAGAAAAAATATACATAAAAAGCTACAATAAGAGAAAATGTAAAAAAAAAAAAAAACAAAACAAAACAAGGTAGAAGATAGTTACTGATGAATTGATAGTCATATTGCCTATGATAACTCAGTTCTCCATTTTAAACCTGTGTACCTAAGCATTACATAATACCATTTATATTCATGTCTTTTTGAATTGATTTATATAATTTAGTTTATTTTGTTTTTAAAGCACTTTTGTGCACATTATCTCATACATTCTGTGCAGTAATATTGTTACTGATGGAGAAACTGAGCTAAGAAAGAGAATTTGTGGAATTATTTAAATTCAGGACTAGAAATTCATAGTTCACTCTTTTACCACTAAACTAAGCTCTGTGCTGTAGAGCTTAATGTACAGGCAGGTAATGTAGTAACGACATTACTTGAACTTGTTTTCTCTGCCTAGAAGATTCTTTTCTCCCACCACCACATTTCTTTAGCATACAGGTCTCAGCTCAAATATCAACACAAAAAGAAAGTGTCTGTAGAACCAGTCTAAAAAGCTCACTCCCTCTACAACCTGCTTTCTGTCTCAAGTCTAGTACCATGGATACTCTTTACAGATTTAAGCTTCTTGCCTGTCTACTTTTTAAAATCTTGCCTGTCTTTCAACGCAAACCTTACCTTTTTTTTAAGGACCCTTTTTTTAAGGACCACCCAGAGTACTTAAAAAATATATTGTCTGTATAATTCATTTGAGTTATTCTAGTATGTCCCTAAGATATCTCTTCTCATTTGAGTTATTCTAGTATGTCCCTAAGATATCTCTCCTATTGTTTTGAATTATCTATATGCATGTTATCTTGAAAATCAGAATATGAAGTACTTGAGAGGGAATTTCATGTGTTCCTTTCATGTATACCTTGCCCCTTACAAATTGATGTCACTAAATGTTTTTTTCAGTTGTATAATACTTTTTTTTTATTTTTAACATTTATCATTTTTTAAATTTTTTTAGATAATACTTGTCACTAAATGTTTTTAATGAATTTTTTACAACAGATTTTACTCTTCACAAACTGTATATTTATAGTCTGTCTTTAATTTCCTTCACTCTTTTCTTAATGAAATACAAAGTGTACAGCCAATAACTTGGTTAACTATATTCAGTAAACACTAGCACTTTCTGATGATGTTTTTAATGGCATTGGCTGGGGACACAAAGGCTAACATAATAGAAGCTGTGCAAGTTTGTAATAGTCATCTTGCCAGATCCTGTTCTGTGGCTTTGTAGGAGAGTCCGGAGAGGCTTGTGTTATGTTTCCAGTTCTGCCACAAGTTACTGTGGGGCTTCAGGTAGATCACTAAACTCTCCAGGTTGCAGTTTCAATGTGATCATTTATAAGGTTCTGTTTTCTTTTTAAGGTAATATTCATTAGCTTTTAATATTACCTCACAACTTAAACTTTATTCTATTTTAAAACTTTCTCTCTAAGACTTTAGTAAAAAACTCCTTAATTCTACCAGTTACTCAAAGAACTCTTGATATTCTCTTTCCATCATTTCCTAAATATGATTTATACCAAACTTATGGGCTCTACTTCCACAATAAAGCTAAAGCCCATCTTCAGCTATCTCTCTCTCCACTGTTACTGTAAAGGTAAACCAATATCAGTTCTCACCTCAGAAACTGATTAGTTTTCTAGCCTCCATAAGAAAGGGGAACAACCTCTTCCTGTGTCTGCACTCCTTACTACAAGCCCATCTGCCAGAACCCATCTGTCTTCAAAGCTAAGTCTGAAATGGAAGCCTGTGTCCTTAATCACTGTGCTATATAACCTTCTATTGATAGTCTGAGGAGGAGGGGCTGACACAAAAGGAAAGTCGAAAGTGTTGGGCACTGAAAAGAAGAGGGGATGAATTAATGTGAGTATTCCTGAGTGGTTAAGTAAGATGAGGGGAGAGAGCTTAGCATTTGACTGCAAGGCAGGCGGTAGTATGGTGACAGGCAGGAGCAGTTTTAGCCAGTGGGAGAGAGAACTTGATTGTATGGGTTGAGAGGATAAACTGGAGAAGCTACTCACACTATTCTTTTTTTTTTTTTTTTATACAGATTTCCTCTTTTTTTTTGTGTGTGTGTGTGTTTAGAGATTTCTTTTTTTTTTTCTTTTTTTTTTTCTTTTTTTTTTTTAAATATTAAATTTTATTTTTATATTCCCCCATACAATTGCAAACGCCCCATTCTGACCCCAATCCTTCCCCTCCCACCCCCCCACCCCCAAAAAGTGTCTCTGGTTCATAGTTTTTTGTTGATTTTGATTTTCACTTTCTTATATTCATTTTCCTGGTCCCTTATTTAAGTTTTCTAGATTCCTGCTATGAGTGAGACCATCCGGTATTTTTCTTTTTCTTTTTGGCTTATTTCGCTGAGCATGATCCCTTCCAGTGCCATCCATGTTGCTGCAAATTGCATGTGTTTATCTCACACTATTCTTTAAAGTCTTCCTGGATTAGGGAATAGACATGGGATGGTAGCTAGAGGGGAATTAAAGGTCAAACAATAGATTTTTATTTAATGTTTGTTTAAAGATGAGAGATACTAAATATTTGAAACCTGCTGGACAGTGTCTCGGAGAGTGGGATAAATTGTTGATGTAGGAGAGAGGGTAATTTTTTGGTTTGGGTTTGTTTTTCTTATGCATGTATGTGTGTTCACCAACTCTACAGTATACTCCAAAGTAGGGGACCTTCTGTACTGTTTTGTCTGTATGTTCTGAATCTAGAATAGTGCCCGCCACAATAATGGCTACTCGGAAACTTTGCAATAATTGAATAAGTGGATGTGTAGACTTCTCTTACCTTCTTTGAATTCATTCTTCACATACAGCTGGAGAGATATAAAAGACTATGTCACTGTCCAGTTTCAAGTCCTCAGTAGTTCTTGTTGCACTTAGAATAAAATTCCAACTCCTTGTGCCCGTAGGATCCCTCAAGAGGTAACGCTGGCCTGCAGCCCTGTGTCCCCACACCCCTGCTCCCATTAACCAGACTCCAGCAATGCTGGCCTTCTTTCATTGCCTGAAACCTAAGGCCCCTTTCCCACTTTCAGCCTTCGTAGATGATTTCTCCCACCAATCCCACCTTCCCAACATTCAGATGTCAATTTAAAATGACACCTTCGGGCCTCCCCGGTGGCGCAGCGGTTGAGCGCTGGGTTGCGAGGCTGACCGCAGCCTCTGCGGCGCCGGTTCGATCCCCGGCTGCTCCCCAGCCACCGGAGGAGGGTCCCACATGGCGCGCAGACCTCTCCTGCCGCCCGCTGCTCCCCTCAGCAGTGTACTTCGGTCCTTCTGCCTGCTCTGCTCCCCGCTCTGGCTCTGGTGAATTCTCTCACCCTCCCGCGCTTTTGACTGTACCCAGTGCTGGTATAAATAAATAAACAAATAAATCTTTAAAAAAAAATAAAATAAAATGACACCTTCTCAGAAAGGTTCTCTTAATACTGTGGCTGAGAACAAGGGCACTGGCCAGACCATGGGAGCTTGTATTTCAGCGCCATGTTTCTTCAATGTGACCTTGGACAAATAAGAAAAATTCTCATGTTTTCTGTCTATAAAATGAGGACAATAGCTATACTTATTTATACAGTTTTGAAGCTGGAGACAGTCTATAAAGCGTGTAGTAAGAGCCTGCCTGGCACATGGTAATAAGCAAAGTGTATTCATGGTCACCTTTATTATCTGCAGGTGAATATATCCCCACACTTCATTTTTATTTCAATTTTCTAGTATTTCTTCATAATGTTTACAGCAATTTAAAATTTACCTGTCTTCCTC